CAACATTTTTGTAGCGAAACTGAAAGGCGGCAGTCTGTGGCTTCTGCTGAACTGACCACAGTTCACCGTTCTAAGAGGCAACGAGTGGTATGCCTGATATGTAAGCAGAATAGTGGACGCTTACGCAAATGTAGCAACAATCCCTGGCTAAATGAAATGCTGGACGAACAAGGAGAAAAAAAAAAAATGGCCTACCTTAGAATCCGAAACAAGCGCGAACGCGTTTCTCTTGCATAGTGCCGGAAGTTAACAATAAAAGTACGAGCGTCCTTGAGCGGGGGGTGTTATTTATGAGTCACGGACGTGTAACGTATGCAAATTTCGGCCAGTTAGAACTGATATAAAACTAGAAATCTCGCAGGTGGGGGCGTCTTTCCTTTTTCTTTTGTTCTTGAGTTGGTCGTACGGTTCGGGTGTGCGTATCGTTGGAGACTAAAAAAGACTATAGGAATCTATCTTTCTCCTTATACTTGGAACGGCAGTGTCAAACTTAAAACCAACTCTTTTCCTTCATTTTTCTGTGTAAATCAGAGCCAACCTTTGTTTATAAAATCCCTGCAATACAACCATCAATAGAATTAGTCAATGCAACACTGAGCACTTGCAGGCATGATGCCCAGCAGTAGGAGATGTAACACCTTCTAAAAACACCTGAGTGAGTGGCTGGGAAAATGCACTTCTCAACGAAGTCTTGACGACCAACTTGTCATTTTCACGACAGAATTAAGTCTCATTTTCAGCCCGACTACTGTAACAAAATAGATGAATCATGACAGAGAACAAGTACTGTTCTAAAAACAATAGTCTACACTGAAGACTCTGAACTCAAGTCCAGTAGCTGTTATTGCTCTTTCGAGTATTGTTTGAAATGGCAGATATGTGTTACATCAGAAAGCATTATGCCTATAGAAAGATTGTATCATAAAATAGATCCATTAAAATAAACCATATGTTAATATTGTTAACTAAGTTTTTAACTTTCAAGGAAACATTTGGCATTCATTGACTGAGCAGTCAGTGCTACTTTTGGTTGAAATTTATAAAATCTTTCAATTTTTCAGGAAAATAGGTTTTCTCGAGTCCAGTAACTGTTATCACTCGTTCATATTTTTATACTTTAAAGCTATTTGTTGGAAAATGTTAATCTCAGTATTCATCATCTGACCTTCGACCTCCCTATGGTTGGTTGGAACTCCAGTGACAATCCCTTTCCACACTGTTCAGTCCTGTATTACTGTCCCCACATCCCCAATATCCGACCCTGAGTCTTGAGCTATGGTGTCTGGGAAAGTCAATTTTCCCAAAAAGACACTTCCAGAAGGATGCCATAGCAGTAAAGATGAGATGATTTCCCTGTCCGCTCGGTAGCAGTGGCTGGCAAACTGCATTTTTGTTTGAGCTTAAGAGAGATTGGTCTCAGTTCTCTGTAAATTGTGTTAAGTGTTGCATGGGATCTCCAACTGATGTTCTGAATTTTTCTAAGTAGATTTTTATATGTTTCATCCAGCTGTCTTTCAAGTGAACATATGTGCAAGTTTCTGATCCATGCAGTAGGACTGGTTCAATCAATTTTCAAAAAGTTTAAACTTTTAAGGAAAATGGAAGGTTCGAGCGCTTCATCTTGTGAAGTTTGTTACACACATCCTATACAAAAGCTTTGCGAATGTTAAAGTCTTTTGGGGACTCTATTATATGAGATCCAAGATATTTGAAGTCCTCAATTCTTTTGATGGATGTATTATTGAGTGACTTCAATTAATCCTAATATTAGCCATTTCTTTATAATGAAACATTCGGCATTCATTGACTAAGCAGCCAATTTCACTCTCAGTTGAATTTTTCTAAAATCTTTCTCTTCAAACAATTTTTCAGGAAAATAAGTTTCTCAAGTTCAGTAGCTGTTATCACCCTTTTCAGTTTTAACGGTTGGTTACCTTCCAAACTTTTGTTTGAAGTAGTGTAGAACACCAACATCCTGATAATGTTGCCATCTCATATATATATATATATATATATATATATATATATATATATATATATATATGTGTGTGTGTGTGTGTGTCCATTAAAGTTGTTGCTTCTGTTGAAAGTCTTCAAGTGGTGTGGTTTGTGCTATTTGATATGGTTTTGTGATCATGTAGCACCAGTCTACAAGATTCAAAGAAAGAAGGTCCTTCAGTATCTGTCTATATTTCTGAGATGAGGTATTATGTACACTATTTACATTATTCAACCCAAAGAGTGTGAGTTCAATACCCAGTTAAGGCAGTGAAGATCTTGGAGAGGCGAATTAACAGGCGATAACTGACATCCATTAAACATGGCGTGGAACTAGAACAGTCTAGCCCAGTGAGCAAAATAAAAGGTTCAGTTCGACATTCCAACCACCTGAAGACGGCCGGAGCATACAACAGCCGAAATGTTGTAATGAATATGGTGACAAACATGAGGACAATAGTCCGAATAATGGAAATAGTGTGAAGAAGATCCTCTCTAAGACTTACAGGTTTTCATTTACATTACTAACATTGTTCGGACTATTGTCCTCATCTTTATCATCATGCTCCTGTTTCGGCCGTTGTATGCTCTAGCCTTCTTCAGGTGATTAGAATTTCAAACTGAACCTTTTATTTCATCCACCAAGGTAGACTGTCCTAGTTCCACTTGCCATGCCTCTTCCAAATGTCGCAGTTATCTCCTTTTAACTTCTCTTCAAGTTTTTCTTCACTACTGCCGTAACCAGGTATTGAACTCACAACACTCTGGTATAAGTCACTGGATACAATGAAGACTTTTATCCACTGGGCCATATGTCCTTGAAGTTTTCATTCACTTAAAGTCATTTTTAACTATTGATCTGAGAAAGCAGCTGTATATCTCTGACAGTTTCGATATTTCTGAACAAGTTTTACATTGTACATGACATTGATATGAAATTCTTGATCTGATGAGTTTATTTAAGAACATGGCTCAAGGTTTTAAGTTAATGTTCTGGTCTTGTTGCAGTTTGCAGTTTTGGGCAAAACAACCACTAACACAGACTATTCTCAGGACGCTATCAACAACTGAAAACTGTCTATTCCAGCCTAGCAGGAGTGTTTTGAGTTTTCTAGTTATGTAAAAGCAACAAGAATGAATCAGGATTATAAATTTAACCCAACTGAATCGATTACCACTGTTTACAACGTCAATACAACCCTTGATGCATGTAATTTATCCACTGCTTTTCCCTTTTCTCTCTCTTCCTGCCAAACGACAGATTTACGGATATGCTATTAAACAAGCTTCCTTCTCATCAGTCAATGTTGCTAGTTTGGTTATCAAACAATTGAATTGTCCAGCACTGATATAAAGAAGGTTAACTTTTTTCGTCCTAAAATTCTTAAATAATCTAAATATCTTAGGTGAAACAGTTTTATTATTGTTTCAAACTGATGTAACTTTAATAATATTTTTGTTCTTTTGTACTACCCTTTAAGTTCTTTATTGAAAAGCTGCTTATGAAATGGGAGATACAGGTTCAAACCTTGCAAAAGGCTATTACATTATTTTCCAGTCTCTGGTGCCTAGTCAATGGCCATTTTTTTTTTAAATGTTAACTTTCGACAGTAGATTGGTGATCATGTCTCTACACAGGTTCTTTTTCATTATTATCTGTGAATTACCATGATTTCTTTGGAAATATTCCCATTTATTAAGTATACTATGAAACAGACATTTTATATATATATATATATATATATATATATATAATAACGAGTGCAGAATCCTTAAAAATCCATCTGATTATATTTTATTTCATTAACTTTTTACATTCATCTCTTCAGACCAGCATTTTTTAATAAAAGGAGCCAATTTATCCAGATGAAAAGAAAAGGGAGAGGAAAAAAGAAAAAATAAATTAATACTAAAAGAAGAAAAAAGTTTTAATATAAGGTTTTAAAAAAAATTGTGGGAGAAAAGAGAAAGAGAGATGGTGAGGGGAGAGGGAAAGATAGAGTGAGAGAGGCAGGGAAAGAAAGGAAAGAAAGGAAAGAAGGAAGAATTAAACATGAGTCGATAGGGTTACCTAGAAATGATCATTTTTCTTTCAGGACTGGACAAGTTAAAAAAAAAACAGAGCGGGGGAGGGGGCAGATTCAAAGTAGATATATTGAATTGTCTTGTCATTTTCGACAACAAAACCATCATCATCGCATTATAACCATCACAATTACAAAGTGATAATAATAATAATAATAATATTTGACATGAATAAAATGAAATAAGTTAAAGTAATGTTAGGGATTTGACTGACTTAGGGTGATTTGTATATATATATATATATATATATATATATATATGTATCAAAGTAATTCATTGAGTTTAGAAGAATCCTTAACAGAATGCAGAAAGTACAGGCATTTTGTCCTATATTTGGGACTCATCACAATACACATCCACTACCAAGAATCGAACCCAGACCATTACGATACAATGCATGCATCATACCAACGGGCCTCGGTGATAAAGAAGTAACTATCTAGACTCAATATAGTGTTTGTCTCACTTTCCATGGTGTAACTCACCCAAGTATACTTTTTCCATAAGATTCTGCCCCCGATGATCAACGTCTTCTTTTCCCCAAGCAGGTTTGTGTTTGTGTCTTTCTGTATAGCTGTATGTGCATGTTTGTTTGTGTGTGTGTGTATACCTGTAAGTATATATACGCACAAACATGTACTCACTCATTCGTGTATGTTTGTGTATGCATATCTAATTGTGTGTTTTGTGTTTGTCTGTGTGTGTGTGTTTATGTGGGTGTATGTTTTTGAATTTTGTGAAGAATGTAGCGGTAAATTTTGTTGGTTATTTTCTGTTGATATGGTTATTCTTTTTCTGGTTGGGTTTTGTTTGAGATTGGTATGGATTGCTAGGTAGAGTGGTTTGTGTTTGTGATGAGATCATTCTCCGATTAACAATTCTGAGCTGTTATCCATTACACCACCCGCACATCCAAGCTTACAGCACCTGGTATTCCCAAGCATTCACCCATTCAGGTACTGACCAGACTCGATGTTGCTTAACTTCGGTGATCATACAGGAACTGGTGTTTCAATGTGTTGTGGCCGTAAATCTTTTATTATTCTTTCAAACTGATGCAACGTTCATCATATTTTTGCTCTTTTGTATTACTCTGCCAAGGTTGTTTAGAAAGTAATTGAAATAAGAGATACAAGTTCAAACCCTGCAAAAAGCTACTTCATTATTTTCTAATTCTAACACACTTAACGGTCATGTTTTTAAAAATATACTATGTTCCTTCAGGATCATTGCTCTCCACGGATTTCTTATTCATTATTACTGTGAATTGTGAAGATTTCTTAAACTTCCCATCACTAAATATGCTGTTAAACAGGCCCTTTTTTCTTTTTTTTTTTTTTTTGCTTTTCTACTGTTGGGTTTGTAAAATTCATCTGCGCCAATATATAGAAATTGGTCCCATGATGTTAGGCAATCTATTATCGTTTAATAAAACCATATGGGTTCAGAAAAAAGCTGACCACCACCAGAGAAGGGACTGGACCTGCTCCAAAATAACACAGAAGTAATTCTCTCTGCTGTCTATTGTACCAGTTGCTGAGGGTTTTTAAGGTACAAGCTATCTAGCCCTATTGCACTTATCAGATGGGTAAACCCATGGTACTAGTTGTCAAGGGTTTTATAGGTACAAGCTATCTAGCCCTACTGCAATCACCAGATGGGTAAGTCTACCTGACATATTCTCTCTATGTATAGGAAAGGACATTGTGTTTATGTTTTAACTGTTGTATTAATGCTTAGATGTAAATAAATATCTTTATTATTTTGATAGCATTCTTCTTATTCATGTCAGTCCTAAAGTGAGACTAGCACAACACTACCATCAGTCAGTGTTGTTAATTTGATCATCGAACATTCATCAATTAGTCGGTCAGTCAGTGCTTATTGAACTGAAATATAGATGCAGCAAAGTATGTTTCAGGATTAACCTGGTTGTCAAATTATTTCTTGTTAAAAAAAAAAAGAAAGTCAGTGAATAAGGAATCAAAGCAACTTCTAAGTTTGTTTATTTTTCTTCTTAAGAAACACCTTTCTTAAATTCCATGCCCTTTCTGGATATAAACAATCATGGCCCTCCACAGTTTCTTTTTCACTACTATCTTTGAATTGCACTGAATTTTTGAAAAAAATGAAAGAGTAGTTCCCTAATGCCTTATCCATAATTTAGAATTTGGAATTAACCATTTTTTAAAAACTGGCTGACACCCAAGGCTTATGAGCCCTGTCAACCCTGATATTTAACCCATAGCTGGGGGAATAAAAGTAGCTTTCATCATATTTTTGTTCTTTTGTATTACCCTGCCATTCAAACTGATTATGTAATTTTCTTGTGACTTATCTCTACTCATTCTTCTATATGAATCTCCTGTGAGTGTTAAATTTTCCTAGCCTTCTTTCCTCCTAATATATCCTAGAAATTGCATTTTTTTTTTATCCTCATAGCAATTTTTTTTATTGCTCATGACTCACTGATTTTTCCAAGCAAGGAAATAAACCATGGCGCAAGTTTGCACTTGTAGTTTCTTGTTTTCTGTTCTTAGCTTATGAACGTTTTTTTTTTCTCAGGTTTGTAAGATTCAGTTTATGTTGAAAAGGTGAAAATCGTCTTTGCTGTAGCCATGACTTTTTGTTGTAATAATGTTTTTGTAATATAAAATGGGTTTTTCCTCGTTCCTGTCTATTTTGGGCAAAACATCTCACAGACATATTACTTGGAAGGAAGGTCACATTGAAGCGTGTAACTGACAGTCACTAAGTAGTGTTGATTTTTATTTCCACAATGTCTATTTCAATAAACACTCTCCAATATTGGGCAATATTCTCTTCAAACGTTCCAATAGCTCACTATATCTTTGTGCAGTAACAGTTCTTCAAGATTTCAACAATTCATAAATAAGTTCTCTTTGCAACCTGTCAAGAACATTTTCTCCTACAAAATACTGGTATTCATTAAAAATAAAAGTTTCAAGTAATTACACACACACACACGCATATATATGTTGATTGCCACATCTTACTCAGATTTGAGCCACACCCTCACCTCTTGCATTACTTTTTGAGGGCTTCCATATCATTTCAGCGTCCTAAGAGGACTCTTGAAAGCAGAATTCAATTCCATAGGTATCATGCATATATAACAGATAAACTCTGTATCCTTTATTGGGTTAATTAGATCTGCATGCATTACAACTCCCCTGTGCCCCACCATGGATCGCCTCAGCCCTGATAATGATCTGCAAACACATACATGCACATATTCACATATGTATTTTTAAACATAATAGCTAAACACAATAAGGTTGAACCAAACATCGAATTTACACACGAATTTAAAACAAATAACTCTACTTTTCCTTGATATCCTATTAATACGTAACTATAATATATTGGATTTTAAAGTTTACTTAAAACCCACAAACAAAAATGACCTTATCAATTTCTATTCCCACCACAACCAGAGAATAAAATCTGGAATAATCACAGGATTTTACCTTAGAGCCCTTAGGATATGTAACCCTGAATACATTAGTGAAGAAGAGGATTATAATGAGAGCACATTCAAACTTCTACACTACACATAGCATTTGATCTTAAATGCAAAATAACGAACTCACAAAATCCATAAAACCAAAACAATAAATAAATACTTCCTGCAAAAATTATACAAAATTCATAATCCTACCTTTCAACACTTCAACTAAATTCGCAAATGAATTAGCCATCTCTGACACAAGGATCATTACCACCACCTTCAAAATTATCAGCGATATAATCAGGATGAAAAATAAAACAAACACCAATTCAAATGCCAAAGTTTATCAAACCAAATGTCTACAGTGCAATAACATTTACATTGAGGAGACATCACATAATCTAAAAATCTACGTCCAAGAACACAAAAGAGACATGCGATTAGATAGACATTCAAACTGCAGTCTTACACTGTAACAACATGTGACATAACTATAATTTCACCAGTGTTAGCTTTATGAAAAAAGAACATATTCTCTTTAAGGAGAAATATTATGAAAATATATTTATAGCAACAGTACCAACTATCAAGACACATTTAAAAAAAATTACATTACTTCACCAATTTTCAACAGATCCATTATTCATGAATCTAACTTATGACTTTCTTATACATAAAAATCAATGAAGATAAAAAAATACGCATGAGATATGCTTTAATGAAAAATCAAGCTAAAAACAATTTTCAAAACATCCTGCTGCGTCTCACTTACTTTTACACACTTTAGCATCCAGAATGTCTCTTGCACATATTTGAATATTATCTGTTGCTTCATTACACGTGACACATATCTAACCAACAAGAACTAACTAAACACAACATAACATTAATCTGTGTCTCATTGCTTTTTATCATTTGTATCTTGATTTCTTACGAAGATTTAATGTAGTGAAACATGTTAGATTGATATCTTTTTTTTTTTGTCAGATTTCTACATATATATAGTGGAGGTGCTAAACTTTGTTCTTGGCCCGAGGAAGTTTTTATAGGGAAGACAGTGAAACACTTACCTGACGAGCTTGTGTGATTGGAGAGCCATGATCGCCTATGTCCTGAAGGGACGCGTCACATAGAATAAGATGTTTTCAGCTAAAAACGTTAGAGATCATGTTGAGTAAGAGGTGAAACCTTTAATTGCAATGCAATACAGTACAATAGTATTCCTTTATATTTTAACATTGAGCTAGGCTAGGAATACACTGTCAGATTCAAGTTATGCAAATTATGCTGGATATATAAAGTCCTGAAAAGTTGTTTCACATAACTTCTAATATGGAGGTGATAGAAATGAAATGGAAAACAAAGAAATGTCTATTTTACAATGTATTTGTTATTGTCATTATTTATGTACACTAACCGTGTAATAGCAATTTGTAGGCGGTTTTCAACAAAACACACATAGAACATATTAAATATTTCAGTTAGATTACTGTTTAAGACAATGAATTGGATAGGCAGTGTGCCAGCCAAAGTTCTAATTTAAATTTAACTTAAAGAAAAAAACATTTTACTTTGAAAAAAAAGAAGTATGATGTTATGTTTAAAAGCATGTAATGGGAAATCACAGATTTAAGTTTGAATTCCAGTCATGTTCATTACATTAACTTACGCGAAAATACCCTTGGGAAGGGTATAAATCTATTGCTTCTTCCCCCAGCTATGGGTTGAATAGCAGGACAGACAGGGTGTTATAACCTTGGTTGGCAACCAGTCTATCACAGAAAAAAATGGCAGCCTCCTGTGAGAAAATCTTCTGCATAGTCAGTCATGAATTGAAAGAGACATGATCGCCCAAACGTGTTTCACGTATGGCTCTTGACTGGTTGAATTTAAAAAACACAAACAAACAAGATATCTGACAATTATGATAAGGTATCTTTCTTTGCCCATCTTTGATGTTTAAACAAGCAATTATTTTTTCCAGTATAGATGTGCTGATTTTGTTTTTATCTTGCGGTTAAAAATGTTGTTATTTTCTCTTTGAGTGATAGAATTTATACGCACAATGAAGATATTGACGAGTGGCGAGATGTCCTATTTTCCAGTATTCTTTATAAGGTATTATCAAAATTAATCAATGATTAAAATTGAAGAAGAAAAAAAGACTAAGAAGTTACAATTGCTTCTGTCCGCTATTTTAGGCTGCGCATATTGACGTTCATATGAACAATCAATTTGTTTGGAAATAATTGTATACTTGCTCATAGACAGATGTCGAGAAAATAATTTGGTTTGAAACGCAGGCGAGAGTAGGCCGAAAAAATAACCCATTCTTCAATGAATATATTTACAAATATACAAAACAAAACTGGGTTCTCATCAAAATATGCTCTCTGAATATCACTGTCATGTAATCAAAATTCATTTTCATAAGTTATATATATGTGTGTTCTTGTTGAAAAGTTCACAGCTAGACCAAGAAAGGATTCCAGTTTTTGGCGGCTTGCAACACCTGGTCAGCACCGAAGCCTCAAACATACAAATATCGTTTACAAGCA